AATCCCGGCGCCCACCCTCCGCGTCGTCCTGCTCATCGTGCGCGTCGAGGGAATTCTCCATCCTCCTTAGTCTCATTACAAGAATTCTCGAACAAAAAGAAACTCCGTTCGCCGCGCTCGTCGCGACTCGCGCTCGTCGCGCTCTGCGTCGCGCTCGTCTGCTACACTTGCCTCCAGACCACTTTACAGCCCCAGCGATGATCAACCTCCTCCCGCTCAAGCTGCGCCTCTGGCTCGAGCAGCGATACGTCGAGCGCCTCACGCCGACCGGCCACGGCGAGAGGAAGCTCGGCCAGTTCTCGGGAGCCACGGTCGTCGACCATCAACTGTGGGACCAAGTCCTCAAGGCGCACCTGACCGAAAATGTCACCATTGGCGACGTGGCAGGCATCAGCACTGTCGACTATGCAGCCGTCGCGAGCGACGGCCGCTTCGACCAATACCTCGCTCAGCTCGCCGCGGTCGACCTCGACAAGATTCCGCCGGCCGAGGAGTTGGCGCTGTACATCAACGCGTACAACGCGTTGACGGTCGGGCTGATCGTGGCGCACGAGCGGCGCGGCGGGCCAGCCCTCGCGTCGATCAACGAGATGAGCACGCCAGCTGCCAAGGTCCAAACTCCGCTGACGCGCGCCCGGCCAGCCGAGAGTAAGCAACCCCCGCCCCGTGCCGCAGGTGTGGGACGTGCCTGCGGGGCAAGTCGGCGGCGAGCAGCTCTCCCTCGGTGAGATCGAGCACCACAAGCTCCGCGCCCGCTGGAACGAGCCAGCGCTGCACGCCTGCATCGTCTGCGCCAGCGCCTCGTGCCCCAACCTGCGGCGCGAGGCGTTCTGCGCCGCCCGGCTGCGCGAGCAGATGGACGAGCAGGTTGCCACGTGGTTTGCGAACCCGACCAAAGGGCTCGCTTGGGACGCCGGCCAGCTGACGCTCTCGAGGATCTTGCTCTGGTTCTCAAAGGACTTTGGCGGGCGGCAAGCGGCGGCCGACTTTGCGCTGCGTGCGCTCGGCACCTCGCACGCAGCCGAGCTGCGCAAGCGGTCGAGCTTCGCGACCCGATACTTTGAATACTCGTGGCGGATAAACAGGACTCCGAATTAGCTAGTTTCGAATGTTGTTTGTTTTCCCGCCAGCCTGTACCGTACTTTATGTCCCTGCACGCATTCCGTCCTCGCCCTTCGCCACAAGCCGACAACAGAGAAGAGCGCGGCAAGAACGGGCTGGACCACAACAACTTCCATGACAACTTCACACAATCTTCTCACAGATGCGAGATGGGCATACTGTCCGGACCGGCGCGCGGCGCTCGGTGTGGAGCAAGCAAGACACACCCACCCCCCATCGGCGCGCGCCCGAGCTTTGAACGGCCGCCAGGAGCACCAAGAGGACTCCTCATGGCTGTGCCCAAGTGGGCTTCGACCGGCCTCGGCTGGGGGGGCGGGTTGTCCCGGTTGCGGACGCGTTGCAGCCCCCTGGGCGTGGGAGGGTCAGCTAGCAGCTCAGCACCCCAAAACTGCCCCCTCGGCGGCATACAGCACTGCCAGCCAGCCTCTTCCTCCTCCTCAAGGGCTGTACTATGGCCATATTGCGCCGCCTCCTACTGGCAGCCGGGCGGGCGCGCGCCGGGCGCGCCTCGGCGCGCGCACGGCTCGCAAAGTTCGAGCGAGTACTGCCGCCTGGCCGCCTCGAGGCGGCCAGGCGGCAGTACTGAGGCGGCCAGGCGGCAGTACTCGCCTCGCAAGGCGCGCACCGGCTGCTCTGGCTGCTGCGCCGGCGGCCGCTGCGCTGGCCGCTGCTGCGCTGGCCGGCGAGCGGTACGACCGCCGGGCGGCCGCTGCACCCGCGCCTTCCCTCGCAGGTGCCGTCGCGCCGCGCGCGCCCAACTCTATCCCTGGCACACGGCACGCGTCGTCACTCAGCCGCGGAGAACAGGCGGTGCAGCGCGCGAAGCGCGCGCGATCTGTACTTTTAAGGCTGGATCCGGCCATTCCAAGGGTATACCTTTGAGAATCCCCAGCGTCCCTCCCTCCTAGTCACAATCCGCTCAATATCTCGACTCTCGAACACGAAGTGCTGCGATCGGGGTTGGCCGATTTCTTTTTTACTTTCTTTTTTGGGGCCCTGTGGGCACCCTAATCCTTTTCATTATCAGCTACATACACGCGCTCGGCACCGGGCACCGCCTCGGTAAAAATGCGCCTGCGGGCGGACCCTCACAGATCACAGATCACACACACCAAGCCCGCCACGCGATCTCTACAAGGAAGAACACGATCTCTCATTGGAAAAGGGTGCACCACCAACTAAAAAACTCGGTCCCGTCAGCGCTTATAGGAAGCGAACGTGATCATCAGTTGGTGTGCTCGCGCGGTGCTGCTGAAGTATCCTTTTCGCCGCCGCGATGATTTCGACTGCGAGCAAGAATGAGAGCCGTCCAGGCCAGATCGGGTTCAAGCTGACCCTCCTCGCCGTTATCGGCACGCAGCTCTCATCAGATGCCGCAGTTGCGCGGCCTCTGATTCTGTCACCGCTTGTTTCGTATAGGCGCGCTTTTCGTTGTCAAGTCGATGGGCGCTGGTGTCAGGCACATGGCTTTGGATTCGGTGAGAAGCGATGCAGGTAGCATCTCTAGCATCCCCCCCCCCCCCCCTTCACCGCCCATCCGCAATCTGCAGGAGGTGAATGCGAGAGCGGCGCAGGCCGTCTCCCACGGAAAGATTCGGGACCTCATCAACTACATGTCGCGGGCGGTCGAGTGCGAAGAGGAGGAGGCGCCCAACTACACGCTCGGCTTCGTTCTCACCTTCGTGGCCGGATCCGCGACCACGCTCGGCTCCCTGGCTATTTGCTTCGTCAAGGACAGTGAGAATCCCAAGAAGATGACCGCGGCGGCACTGGGCTTTGCTGCGGGCGTGATGACTTACGTCTCGTTCGTCGACGTCCTCGGCGCCGAGTCGCCCGAGTTCTTTGGCTCGCACTTCGCGCCCGAAGGGTGCGAGCGGCGCAAGATGCAAGAGGCTTTTGGGCCCGAGCCGGGGAACGCTGGGCCAGTGGTCGAGGAGGGAGAGACCATCTGGGTCCGGGTGTGCGTGGCTGGCTTTTTCTTCCTGGGCATCATCCTGGCGATGGGACTCGACGTGTGTGTGGACTGCCTCTTCTCTGGCGGCCACGGCCACGGCCACGGCCACGGCGGCCACGACCACAGCCACGACGAGGAGGCGAAGGGTGACACTGTGACCCCCGATAAGGAGGAGGAGAACACGTCGCTGCAACGCATCTCGATGGTAACCTTCTTCGCGCTCGCCATGCACAACTTCCCCGAGGGCATCGCGACCTTCTTCGGCGGCGGCACCGGTTCCTTCACCGTGCCGATCGCCATTGCAATGCACAACATCCCGGAGGGCATGGCGATCGCCATACCGTGCTACCAGGTCACCGGCTCGTTCTGCACCGCGGTACGCAACACCTTCATTGCCGGACTCGCGCAGCCAATCGGCGCGGCGTTCGGCTGGTTCCTCATCGTGCAGCTGCAGATCGATGACCTGCCCGCCTTCACCTACGGCGCGGTCTACTCCCTCACCGCGGGCGTCATGGTCTGCGTGTCGATCATGGAGCTGCTACCGGAGGCCTTCGCCAGCGCTCCCGCCAACTACGTCATTTGGTTCGTCTTTGCGGGGTTCGTGATGATGGAGTTCAGCATCATCTGCCTCGACCTTGCCGGCGTTTGAGCTGAAGAGAGGCGCTGCAACCCGCACCAAACTCACCGTGCAGCAGCTGCTCGGCATACACACGTTAGTAATGCCGGGAAGGTGAAGGGGGTTGCGCACGGTCGGGTGGTGGACCTGGACTGGAGCGCACGTCGGAAAGATTTCTTTGAGTCCGGATGTGCGTGAAAAATGATGCTCGCTTCACCACCTGTTGCCCACGCATTGATAAAGGTAAATATCAGCGATTAAGACAGAGCGATCTTCTAGACATCCCCGCAGACACTCTGCCGGCTCTCTGGAGAGGGGACGACGGGCGTCATTGCGCTGCGCGGCGTATCCGGCATTACGATTAACGCTCGTCGCTCCGGTGCCGCGGCTCTCGCATCAATCGGCGTCGCCTCTCCTGCGCGCCGTGCTGCAACGTCGGCTGCTGCTCTGAGTCTCGCTTCGGAAAGACAGCGATCGAGCCGCCTCCGCGTCTCAGAGTGAAACTCAAGGTACCACGGCAATGTCCGGAATGGCTGTGCGTCAAGATCAGAGAGCGTTCTGACGTTTTCCACCGCACAATAGACCGCGAGGGTCCGGAACGCAACCTCAGCATCAGCAGCCGTGGTGAGGTCTCTGAGCCATTTGAGATCCTCGTCTGCCGTGCAACTCGAGATGATCGAGAGAGCTGTGGCGGTCGAAGCGCTGTACATTTTGCCGTAGAAGCGATTCACGTCGGCGGGCAGGAGTCGCGGTGCTCAGTGCGCACAATGTGGACCGATTGCGGGCCGAGCCTCACAGCGCACAACAACTCCCACAAATAATGTATATGTGGATGGCCGGGTCCGCGTTCTGATCGTGCGGAAGGTCGGACATATTTCTTTTGCGCTAGGCCTTTATATGGCAAACGCCAGGCTACACACACGGGGAGGCACGTAGTAACGCAGGCAGGGGAGTCTAGCGACGGTGGCCTCCTCCCCGACGCCGAGGCGAAGCGTCATTTTTTTTCTGCGCGCGCTGCCCTCGGATCAGGCGCCAGCCTCTCACGCTAGGGACCCTCACTTCTCAGGCCGGTAAACAACACCCGGTCTTCTCACGGCCTCCCAGGCCTTAAAGCGCATGGCAGCGGTCGGCTGGCGCAACCTCTCCCTCGCCGACGCCAAGGTCGTCGCTCCCTACGCAGTCGCCTTTGCAGCGATCCCCACCCTCGCGGCGGCGGGCGGACGGGAGCATTATCCGCCCTGGCCTGTGCTTCCGCTCTCCACGACCACGCTCTTGAGCCACTTCACGTTCGTCCGCGCCAAGCTCCCGGCGCGCTGGTGGTCGCTCCTCTCCTCCGCCTTCACCCACCTCGACGCCAACCATCGCGACAGGTGTCCACGTGCCACAAAGCCGCTCCGCCTCCGCCCACGGTGCAATGAGGGAGGGTAACACCTCATCAAACAGACTAGAATCTCGTACTCACGCGCCTGCCCGTGCGCGGCGTGTGGCTGCCGAGACTTCGCGATTGACTGAGCACCAGCACACACCAGCGCCCCAGCGGCCCTCGCTCTTGCCCTCCCGTCACGAGTCGCCTTCCCTCTCGGCGCAGCAACCTGCTCTCGCTCCTCTTCTCCGCGCTGCCGCTCGCGCGGAGGCTCGGCTCGCGCGGCATGGCCGCCGTCTTCCTCGGCGGCCACATCGCCGCCGCGCTCAACACGCGCGGACGCGTGCTCCAGCTCGAGAGGTACGCCGAACCCATCCTCCCCTACCCCCACGGTACCCGAACCCACTCTCCCCCTATCGAGAGGTACGTCGACCGGAGCACGGGCCGGCTCGCGCCGTCGTGGCTCAGCGCCGGCGTGGCGAAGCTCTTCAACACCGCCTCGCCGCAGGCGGCCCTCGGCGGCTCCGCGGGCGCCTTCCCTACCACACCTCCAGAGTATCGAACCCAGTGTGGGTTCAGTCCCGTGGGTGGTGCGGTAGGTGTGTTCGCGCTCTTCGGCTTCGACTTGTGCCTCGGCGTGCGGAGCGGGCTCGACCTGCTGCGGCGCGGCGCGAGCGAGGAGCAGGTGGTTGGCGAGGGGCTCCGGCTGCTGCTCGGGCTGCTGCCCGTCGTCTCGATGGTGCTCAGCGAGCACCGGAGCCTCGAGGCGGGCGAGAGCCTCTCCGTCGCCCACGCGGCGCACCTGACCGGCTTCGCGTGGGGCGTGGCTTGCTGCGTCGCCAGCGCCCTCTTCGGCGGCGGCGAGGAGACACGGCAGAGGGGAGTCGGCGCGGCCCCGGCGAGGGGACGATTCGGCACGGGAGTGGCGGGCCGCCGGCTGGGCCGCGAGTGAGTCGCGACGTCAGCTGTACGTACGATAGTCGATACGCACACATGTATCATGTTGTGGGTCGCGTGCACGTGTCGGCGGTGTTTTTCGTGATGTATGCATTGATCTGATGTGTGTGTGTGCGGCCGACTGCACGCTCAAGGCTACACGCTCGCACACCACTTGCAGAGTGGCTCTCCCGGGTGCTCAGCCCACGGCGGAGGCACGCCAGGCCCCTGGCAGCCGGCCGTCACTCGCCTAAGCGCCTAAGCGGCCTAAGCGGGGGGTGCTTAGGGTGCTTAGGCGCTTAGGCGGCCCTTGCGAGCGTGGCGGCGTGGTGGTATCGTAATACAAGTGACTCCGATGACACACATGATGCTCCTGCTAGTGTCATCGCTCAGAGAGCAGCCTCACCGCGTCGAAAGTCTACCACTGGCCCTGGTCGCACACCGCCGCTGAGCTGTGATGATGCCCACAGCACCAGCAGCAAAGGCGGGCGGGCCGACCCCGCGGCCATCGCCGCCGCTGCCGCCTCCTCCGCCGCCGCCGCCGCCCCCTCCGCCGTCGCCGTCACCTTGGGCTGCATCACCCGCGCCGCCGCCGCGCACCGGCTCGTGCTCATTCAAAGGCGCCTCGAGTTGCAGGCCAGCGGCACTGGCGTTGTCGTGGTCAGGCTGCCCAACGTCGGCGCGGGAGGGAGGGGGCAAAGCCGTTATGAAGAGCGCGAGAGCGAGCGCCGACGGCCCAGATTATGAGCAGCAGCCCGCCTGGTCATGGGCCACTTGCCTACGTGCGTCCAGCTTCCACTATTGGACGAACGTCGAAGTTTGCTCCGCGTGCCGAGCGAAACCTTTTCCTTCGAAGCTCAGCGACGTAGCCGGGCGAGCGGAATAGGGCAGCCCTAGAGAGCACCTTGAGGCCATTCAATAGAGCCCGTGTTATAGTCGAGAGTCGATCGCCGGCCGGCGCAGTGCTGCTCTGACCGCTCCGCCGGGCCGCCTCCGGGCCGCCGCCGCGGAGACGTGCACATAGGCAAGTTGGTATTTTCATATATGAACTTCAAAATACCATTGGCTAGTCTAATCCTACTCATCACAACTCGCCAGAAACACCCCCACACTATAGGGTCATTGTGTAGCCCTGCTTAGAAGGAAAAGGTTTTCTGCAAGGTCCGTACTCTATGGCTCACCGTGTAGTCGGCCGTGCAAAAGCTAGAAAGTGTCAGCAGTCTGGCACACACTCGAGTCTCGACGACACACCGCACTCTGGGTGGCCGCTCTGCGCTCTGATTCACTGCTGAAACCTGCTCCCGCGAAAACAGTGCACACTCGCACAGGAGAGAGGTGCATCTAGATGCATGCGAGCTTTTTCAGAGAGAGTCTGGTGCGCTTCTCAAAGCGATCTCGCGCGAAAAGGCGAAATCCCACACTGGTGGATTTTGGGGCGCTGTGGCTGCGGATCCTATACAGTGCCACTCCCACACACACACCGAAATCGGGTGTGACAAACACACACCATCACTCACCCACACGCATCACATCTCATGCAGCGCAATCCGTAGCTCGTCAGGCGGCGCGGAGTCCTCGTCCGTCAGGCTCTGAGCGCTGTCGACTAGATTGCGCCAACCTCGCCCCCCCCCGCCCCGCCCCCACGCACCACCACGCTGCCGCCTGTCAGCTGCGCTGCGCGGCGAGCTACTCCCAGTCGCCCCTGGCGCGCGAGGCGAGCGGATGCATGAGAAGAGGCGGAGACCGCGGTGTGGAGGAGGAGCGGTGTGGAGGAGGAGCGGTGTGGACGAGGGGAGGAGGGGCGGAGTGGAGGAGGGGAGGAGTGGAGGAGGGGCGGAGTGGAGGAGGGGCGGCGTGGAGGAGGCGCGGAGTGGAGGAGGGGCGGCGGCATGGCTGCGCACCAGTCCTCCTCCTCCTCGCCCGGAGGCGGCTGCAGCGTGAGCGAGCAGGCGGAGTGGAGCGGCGGCGGCTCGGCGCACTCCTCGGCGCCGCACGAGACGGTTGACGCCTCCTCCCACGCGTCCTGCGGGGCAGGTCAGGCGCAAGTCACGGACGTGTCGTCGACATGTCGTGTGCACGCCTCCTCCCACGCGTACTGCGGCGGATGGCAGAGCCTCGGCAGGGCTCGGCAGAAGCTCGGCAGAGGCTCGATCTCGGCGCATCTCGATCTCAGTCCTCTCTTGCACACCCCTCTCTCGGCGCATCTCGGACGGGGGTGTACCTCGGATGGGGGGTCGATGAGCGACGCGGACGAGGCGAGCGAGAAGTCGTCCTACAGCAAAGCTCCGAGAGAAGGCTCGTGGACGGTTCCGGGAGGGGTGCGGGGCGAGCGAGAGGTCGTTCCGAGACGGTCGACGCGGCGGAGGAATGCGCCTAGTCAATCATGTACTGTTTTCATTCCTCATAATTCATTCATTCGCGGCGGAGGAGCGCGCCTGCGCCTATGTAAGAGTGACCCTGCTCGTCCTTTGCCCTTTGACATTCCAATATGTTGCGCGGCCGACGAGTCGAGGGCAAGGGGGCCGTGCGCCTTCTTCCCGCCCGGCCTTGTGCTGGGGCTCCTCGCCTACCAACTCCACCCCGACCCTGCTCACTCCTCGCCCCGCAGCAGAGGGGCCTCGCGCCGCTCCAGCGCTGCGCGCGCCGCCGCCCGCTCGCCGCCCGCCCGCTCGCCCTGCGGCGGCACCCCTCCTCCCTTCGCGCCCTCCTCGCCGGCCTGCCTGGCCGCTGCAGCCGCCGCGCCGACAGCCGCCCCTCCTAAGGCTCCTCCTCCTCCCGCCGCCGCCGCCGCCGCCGCCGCCGCCGCCGGCGCCGCCGCCGCCGCCGCGCCGCCCGTAGCAGGTGGGGCGGCCTCATAGCCCTGCGCCGCCGGCTCGGCTCGGCCGAGAGAGCGGCGCGGCAGTGGGCGGGCAGGCTGGCCGTGCGGCTCGGTGGAGGCTGCTGCTCGGCTGCTGACCGCCGCCGTCGCAGCTATCGGGTCGAGCCCTGTCCGCTCGCTCCTCGCCACGGGCGCGGGCGCGGGCGGGAGAGGGAGAGGGAGAGGGACGGGCGACGGAGAAGGTTTGGCGGGCGGAGCCTTCTTCGGCAGCGGTGCGGGCAGCTTGGCGGGCTGCTTTGTGCGCGGTGCGGGCTCGTCGGACCTTGGAGACAGAGGGGCAGCTGTGAAGAGGCGCAGAGGCAGAACCGAAGAGGCGCAGAGGCAGGTGCGAAGAGGCGCAGCGGCAGGTGCGAAGAGGCGCAGCGGCAGGTGTGAAGGGCTAAGGGTCGTGACGTGCAGGCGATGTGGTCGTCCCACGAGAGTGTGGGTTGCATCCTACGTGCACCACACCACGAGGCGAACGGGTCGTCCTCGCCCCAAGAGGAGAGCTGCGGTGCGGGCTGCGCCTGCGGACATGTCCCGGACGTGTCATGGACGTGTCCTGGACAGGAGAGCTGCGGTGCGGGCTGCGCCTGCGGACATGTCCCGGACGTGTCCTGGACGTGTCCTGGACAGGAGAGCTGCGGTGCGGGCTGAGCCTTTGACGGCGGGCGAAGCAGCGCCTGCCGCTTCTTCTCCTGCCGACGCGGGGCAGGCGCGCGTCTGGGGCGCCGCGGGGAGAGGAGGGGAGGAGCGTTGCAGGAGCGATGCAGGGGAGGAGCGTTGCAGGGGAGGAGAGCGGGAGGGCGGAGGGAAGGGACGAGCGGCGGCGCCCCCGGCCCTCGCAGGCGCAGTAGCACCTGGCGCTGCAGCAGCTCCACCTCGTAAAAGTACCGCTCCCAAAACACACGGTAGGAGAGGACCGCCGGGACCAGGGCCTGGTGCGTCGCCCGCAGCGGCGGCTGCTCGCGCAGCAGCGCCTCTATCCTCTCCGTGTGCGCGAGCAGCTCGAAGCCGTCGCAAAAGGCGGCAAAGCCGGCCGCGTCGGCGACCGGGCGGGTCCAGTTGGCGTGGTTGGTGGCGATCGCGCGCTCGCGCTCGCGGTGGCGCGCGCGGGCAGCCTCGGAGTTGTCCGCTCTCCCACCCTCCGCGCCGCCGCCCGCGCCGCCGCCCGCCACCCGCGCGGCAGTCTGCTCGAGCAACGCGCCGACCGCCACGTCGGCCTGCGTGATGGCGCCCTCGAGGTCCTTGAAGACGACGGCGCCCAGCTCGAGCAGCCGCGCCGGCTCGAGGTGCTGCCCCAGACCCGACGCCTTGGAGGCGAGCGCCTGCCGCGCCTTTGCGAGGTCGGCCGCCTCGGCTGCGCCGCGCACCTTCTCGACCTCCTGCTTGGCGGCCTCACGCACAACCTCCGTGTCCTCGCGCAGCTGGCTCGTGAACTCCTTGAAGCCCTCGGAGAGCTCTCCCCAGAGGCCCATCAACAAGCCGAAGAGCGGGCCCTTGGACGGGAACAAAGAATTTTACAAACAAACTCGGTCGCACGACACTGGGCACAGCGAGAAGCGGCGAGAGACTGCGAAGAGAGCTAGGAAGAGGCAGACTCCCTAGGGTGGGCGACGGCTAGCGCATCACACACCTCTCCTTAAAATCCCTGTGTGTGGTGGCGGTGTGCCGTGGTCCTCCCATCCCTCCCTTGGTTGTATGTTTTCTTTCTTTCTTTACACTGGGCACGGGACTGGCGTGCGCTGGCGCTAACAAGGCGCAGACGACGGCTTTCCTTATTAGCACAGTGCGAACAAAGAATTTTACGAGCGACTGCGCACGGGACTGGCGCTGCCGTTCTCCCATCGTCGGGAACCGTCAGGATCATGAGCGAGAGAATCGGGTAGACTCCGATGGCGATCCGCGGGTCGAACCAGGCGGGGAACGTGTAGCCGAAGAGCGTGTACCCCTCGGCCGGCTTGATGAAGATGACCATGATGGTGAGGTAGAGCGCCGAGAAGAGCAGCATCGCCTGCACAAACAGCTGCCCGCCGTGCACCGCAGCGTGGCGCTGGTCGTGCCCGCCGCCGTGCCCGCCGCCGTGCCCGCCGCCACCATGCCCGCCGCCGCCACCATGCCCGCCGTCGCCGCCGTGCCCGCCGCCGCCGCACCGCCACCGGAGGCAACCCCGGCTCCGTTGGAGACAAGTTCGCCTTCGGCAACACCGAAGAGCGCGCCCGACTTGCAAACATGGGCTGCAAGCAACGCGGGTTCTGTGGTCAACGGGCGTTCGACCACACCACCGGCCAAGGCTACGTCAAGTCACAGCGTGGCCACTACCATGATGGGATCTTCACCAAACGAAACAAGTTCAACCTGCTTCTCCACGAGACATTCGGCGGCGGCTTCTCGCCGCCTGCAGTTGCAAAGATCAACCGCCTTGCGCGCAAGGCTCAACGCTCGGGCGTTGACCGCACCGCGTACCCTCCCCACTCCCGCCTCTCATTTGTGCCACACCACGCGGAACGCATCTCCATCGCTTCGGTGAAGGGGGTGAACCGCGCCATCCTCGATCGCCGTGCAAAGCTCGCTTCCGAGCTCTCACGCCGCGCGTAGGGCCCTTAGGGGCCTAGAGAACACAACCCCCTCTCCCTTTTCTCCCAGTAAGCTAAAAGTACGTACTTCTGACGTATTCGCCACCCCCCTTGTATTCCGTACGTATTCTCGGAGCGGAAGCTTCGTTCGTGCAGGACTGGCGAAGGGGGCGACTCGAGTCGACTCTCAACATAAATAACGCTCTCTAAGATGAGACAGACAGGCCAGAGCGTGCGAGGTGGGTCACTTGGGCTACGGCCCTCGCTCCTATGTAAATAGGTGTGGCGTGGTGCTGGGCACGATAAATGGCGACGCGAGGCGGCGGCGCGGCGCGGCGGCGGGCGACGCAGTGGGCGGGGAGGTGCACGGGGGAGGTGTCTCCCTGTCCCCACCGGACGTGTGCGAGGCTGTCCCGGCGTGCCATCCTCCTGCGACCAACACCCCGACCGGCGGCCCCGTCGGTTGCGGCGCCGATCGGATCACCGACGCTCAAGGCGCCCGAGTCGAACGACAGGCGGCACGCGAAGACTGGTTCCAATCCCGCGGACCGACAGGCCGCGGGATGATGTGTGCGTGGTCATGTAGTGGGTTCTCGGAAGCTCCCACCGCCGTGTTTGGCTTTGGCCTTAAAGCCGTACCGCTATACAGGTAAGGTAAGGTAAGGTAGGGTAAACGTCTTCACACACACAAAGTGGTGGGGCAAGGGGGGGCGACCCTCGCATCTCCACGCCCGGACACGGGCAGGAGCCCCACGGCATTCAAAGTGCAAGCACCGGCCCGGTGCTGTGGGTGAGCAATCTGCACCCCACTCCCTCTCTCCCAGACACAGGACCCACACACAACCCCCAGCGTGTGGACGACTGCGTGTTCAGAAACACCAAGCAGCGAGGCGAGGGTGAAGGGGTAAGGGGCTGCGTGTGGGGCAGAATCTACATCTGACTACTCCATCTAGCCTGGGGGGTCGGAGGAGGGGGGGGCAGAGTGTGGGTAAGATATGGGTGAGGCCAGCTAGTCGGACACCCTCCTGTCGTCGGAATACTCCTCGGAGCGGTCGGCGTCCTCGTCGTCGTCCTCGGTCCTCGCCCGACGGCGACGCGGGAGGACGAGGTCGGGCGAGAGGTCTGCTATACATACCTCAGTCGCAGTACCACCAACTGAGATATAGTGTGTGTATGTATTGAAGTGTGGTTTAGTATCGCTTCGAGACATGAGACGCGAATATCCACCTCTCTCTCTCTCTCTAGCCTCCCAACCCCAATCATCAAAACGGCCCTCACGCGTCACTTCTTTGCGGCCGCCGCCTTTGCACTCTTCTTCTTCGCTGCCGCCTCGGCTGCTTTTTGCTTCTTCAGCTCCTGCAGCCGCTTCTCGCGCGGGTCCTCCACCTCGATCTCGCCAGCCTCGATCGCCCGCATCCGCGCCTCCTGCTTCTCCTTGCGCGCCGCGATCGCCGCAAAGAGCGCCGACTGCGGGTCCGAGCCGCCGCCGCCTCCCCCCCCTCCCCCACCGCTGGGTGCCGGCGCGCCCCCTCCCGGCGGCGGCGGCGGCGGCGGCGGCGGCGGAGGTGCACGCGGCGGCGGCGGAGGCGGCGGGGGCGCGCGCGGCGGCGGGGGCGCTCCCGGTGGCAGCGGTGGCGGAGGCGGCCCCCCTCGCCCACCCGGCAGTGGCGGTGGCGCCGGCGGCGGAGGCCGGGGGGCGGCCGGAGCCGGCGGCGGCGCCGGACGAGGCGGCGCGGCGCTGGCTTTGGCTGGCGGCGCTGCAGCCGCTTTGGGCTTTGGCGCCGCCTTGCCCCCCGCCCCCTTGCCCGGTTTGGCCGGCTTGTTCTCCTTCAGCTCCCGCAGCCGCTTCTCGCGCGGGTCCTCCACCTCGATCTCGCCAGCCTCGATCGCCCGCATCCGCGCCTCCTGCTTCTCCTTGCGCGCCGCGATCGCCGCAAAGAGCGCCGACTGCGGGTCCGAGCCGCCGCCGCCTCCCCCCCCTCCCCCGCCGCTGGGTGCCGGCGCGCCCCCTCCAGGCGGCGGCGGCGGCGGCGGCGGCGGCGGAGGTGCACGCGGCGGCGGCGGAGGCGGGGGCGGTGGCGGCCCCCCTCCTCGCCCGCCGGGCGGCGGCGGCGGCGGCGGCGGCGGCCGAGGCCCGCCCGGGACTGGCGGCGGCGGCGGCGGCGCCCGCGCCCCCGGCGCGCGCGGTGCGCCTGCGCCGCGCCCGCCCGGCGGCGGCGGCGGCGGCGGCGGCGCCTTGGCGGCGCCCGGCGGGCTGCACATGGCGAGCACCTGCGCGTCTGTGGGGCTCTTTGTGCCGAGCCGCGCGATGATCATCTTTTTGAACTCGTCGGCCTGGCCGGGCATGCCCGGCTCGCCGAGCCGGACGAGGAGGCAGCGCAGCTCCTGCTCGGTGAGGCCGGAGCAGCCCATGTTTCGCCAGTTGTACGGCGAGATCTTCTTGATGTCCTCGGTGCTCGAGACGAGCAGTCCCAGCTCAGGCTTACGCCGGAAGCGGCGCACCTCGGACACGTCGCCCTCGCCGTTGCTCAGCGCGGCCCAGTACTTCTTCATCGAGCTGGCGATGCGGCCGTTGACTGCGACCTGCGCCGCCATCTTCGCCGCCTCCTCCTTCTCGCGCTCCTTCTTCTTCAGCAGCTCCTTTGCCTGGTCCTCCTTCTTCTTCTGCGCCGCCTGGAACGCCTGGATGCGCACCTGCCGCGGCTGGTCCATCAGCTCGCCTATGGACATGTCTCGGACATGTCTCGGACATGTCATGGACGTGTCCTGGTGAGTGGTCCATCAGCTCGCCCAGCTTGATGGTCATCATCTCCGCGAACCCCACCTGTTCACAGCAAGAGGTGTGAAGAGACGCTGTTCACAGCTTGATCGTCATCACCTCCGCGAGCCCCACCGTCGTCTCGTCGGGCTCGCCTGTGGCGAGGAGGGGAGGAGGAGGAGCGCGGTCGGCGCGGGCGTGCGGCGAGGGCGTGGGGTGCCGCCTAGAGGGCGCGCGCCAATGCCGAGCCGCTCGAGGACGGCCTCGTCGTACTCCTCGACGTAGATGAGCATGAAGCTCGAGTAGAGCTCGCGCAAGTGCTCGTCCGACAGCTGCACGAGCCCGCCTGCCGGGAGGCGGGGAGATCTAGCCGAGATCTAGCCGAGGCAGAGCCGAAGTAGAGCCGAGATCTAGCCGAGGTAGAGCCGAGGCAGAGCCGAGGTAGAGCCGAGATCTAGCCGAGGTAGAGCCGAGATCTAGCCGAGGTAGAGCCGAGATCTGGCCCGCCGTTGTACTCGTCGAAGAGCTGCTGCTCAAACCGCCCCTCGGAGCGCATCTCGAGGACGGCGCGCAGCTTGACGAGGAACTCCTGCAGCACCTTCTCGTCCTGGTCCGCCGAGAGCTCGCCCCCCGTCTGCAGCTTGAGCTCTCGGTTCTCGTTGCGCAGCGCCTCGAGCTGCTGCCGCATCTCCTCGAGCTGCCGCAGCTGGTCGCTCACCAGCCGGTTCGAGCGCGGCGTGATGGCGCCCGCCGCCGCCGCAGAGCCCTGCCGCGGCGTCGCGAGCTGTATGAGGCCGGCGACCTGCTCCGCGTCGCCTATGGGACGTGGCGCAGAGGCGTCCTGGACGTGTCCTGGACATGTCACCGGAGCACCTGCTCCGCGTCGCCTATGGGACATGTCTCGGACATGTCCTGGACGTGTCCTGGACATGTCACGGGAGCACCTGCTCCGCGGCTCGCCCATCACGGTCTCGATGCGCTTGGCGAGCGGCAGCACCTATAGAAAACAGAAAACACGCCTCGAAAAAAGGAAAACCGCCGGCCGCCTCGGCGAGCGGCAGCACCGGCTTTGCGTGCGTCACGAGGTCACGCCCCGAGATGCCGAGCTGGAGCGGCTTGGGCGCCTCGGCGGCGGCGCTGTCGGCGTCGTCGTCGTCGTCGCTCTCGCTCGCGCTGTCGCTCACCTCGGCGAGGGGGGCGGGCTCGGCCGCGCTCTTGGCGCCGGCGCCGACCTTGGCCGGGCTCGAGGCTGGCGACTCTCTCGCGGGCGACGTCGGGGCGGACGAGGAGACGGAGGAGCGCAGCGAGAGGCGGACGGACTGGCGCCGCTCCTTCTCGGCGTGGTACTCCTCGCCGATCGCGTTGACGATGTTCTTGTGCAGGTTGCGCGCGGTGGCGAGCGGCTTGGCGAAGCCGTCCGCGCCGCCGCCGCCGCCGCCGGCCGGCCCGCGCGGCGTCGGCGCGACCGCCGCCTCGGGGTCGAATATGGGGAGCGAGTCGAGCCAGCGGCGCATCTCCTTGGCGGTCGGCGCGGCGAGCTCCCACTGGCCCTCGTCGGGCGTGAAGATCGAGAAGCCGAACGGCTGCGACGGCGACGGCCTCCGCGCGGCCCACTTGACCTCGCCGTGCGCGCGGTACCCCGGCTGCTGGTAGATGTGCGCGTCTGCAAAGGTGCCCGCCGAGTGGGCGACCAGCGGCTGGGCGCGGTAGATGCAGAGCTTCTTGCAGAGGGGCTGGAACAGGACCCACCGCCGCTTCCAGCCCCTCCGCCCCTTGATCTGGATGTAGCCAGAGATGGCGCGCGACGTGATGGCGTCGAGCGACCGCTTCCAGCGCGCCGCCTCCTCGGCCGACGCCGCCCGGCATTCGAACGCCTGTGCGAGACATGCCACGGACGTGTCCTGGACGTGTCCTCGAACGAGCCGCCCGCCACTCGAGCGCGGCTGCTCTTCACCTCTCTATCGGGATGTGTGGAAGCCCAGCTGGCGGAGTATCTTGTGTGTGTTTGTGTGTGTGTGTGTGTGTGTGTGTGTGTGTGTGTGTGTGTCCAGTCCGAGCCTCTGGCTGCTCTGCACCCACCTTCCAGACTAACTGACGAGCTAGGCCGCGAGGGAAGGGAGTCGGGCTGCGGGGCGCCGTCTCTCGGAAGTGTCTCGGAAGTGTCTCGCGCCTCGCCCTCGTGCGACTGGACATGGAAGAGGTCGGGCGTCGCCGGCGCACCGTCGGCGAGTGCGATGGTGCAGCTGCCGTCGGGCCGCTGCCCGTTGCTCGGCGCCTCGGTCGACGCCGTCGCGTACCAGGTGAGCACGCACGTCTCTTTGCCCAGCACGCAGTAGCGCGGCGCGGGCTTCTGGCCGCGCTTCTCGGCGCGCCGCACCTGCAGCGGCCCGTAGACATGCTCCGTCTCGCTGAGACGGAGCGCGGAGAAGCGCGTGCCCGCCGAGGCCGCCGGCCGGCGCGTGAGCGAGAAGGCGCGACGCGGCCCCGAAAACATGCTCGTCGTCCGATCCAGATCCTCGTCGTCTTTGCCGCCATCGTCGCTCTGCCGCGCCTGCTTGTTTCTGCGGCCAAAGCTCAGCACCCGCGTCAGCGTGCGGCCCAGGTCCTCTGGCGCGGCGGCGGTCGCGTCGTCGGGGACGTCGTCCGCACGCTCCGACGCCGACGGGTCCGTCTTCTTGGCCTTCTGCCTCGCTCGCCACGAGAAGGTTCGGACCAGTCGGTCCACGGGCCGGGTGAGCTCCGGCGCGTCGAGCTGGACCGTGTCGTCGGGGGAGTCGTCCATTGGCCCGAGCGCCGAGTTAGGCCCGGCGAAACGTTGCGGGAGGATGGAGTTGAGCGCGCGGAGAAGGAGCGCGCCTCGCGCGCTCGCGTTGGACGGGTGATGTCCGAAAACAAAAAAAACGTCGTGGACGGCCCTCAGACAGCCTTGAGTTATGTGTACGCCTACTCAGGGTGTGTGGCAGCCCGCTGGCTGTGTGTCTTGTGAGCTTGTTTGTGTCTGTGTGTCGCTCGTGCGTGTCGTCATCATCTGTCCAGCGTCCACCCATACCGCGTTGGTGTCCAGTCCGAGCCTGGCTGTTCTTCACCTTTCTACCTACCTACCTACAGCATGTCTCTCTTCGTTCTCGCGCTCCTCGCTCGGCCGGGCGGCGGCAGGGGTGGTGCGGAGGCGTCGCCGCCGCGCCACGTCTGGCATGCACTCTAGGGCATGTCACACCCCACCTCCGCTGAATACCCAGCGCTGCCCTGTCTCACCATATGTCCAGCCCGTGGCAGTGTCGACCAGCCCCCCTGCCCGCTGCACCGCGGGGTCGCACGCGCCGACGCACTTCCTGAGCGCCTTCACCGCGTATGCCCCGCGCAAATCGGCGGGGGAGCGCGCGTGCGCGACAAGGCTGCGGTGCGCAAACCACAAATTGCGTCCGCGCTGGTAGAGCAGCCTGTACTGCCCGGTAGATCCCATCAGCGCGGTGACTTGCGCCTTGTACGCGTGTTCGCGCGTGCCGTAAGGCGAGTCCGCCTCAATGACGAGGATACCAAAGCGGACTCGCTCCCAATCCACCGCACGCAGGACGGCGAGCTCCGCCCCCTCTACGTCCAGGATGCCGAGGGCAAATGTGTGCACCCCCACAGCGTCGAGGATGGCCGCGAGCGGACGGCAGGCCACCGGGTGCACGTACATCGTGGTGCCTGTCCGTCAACAGCGATGGCTTATCACGGGTCGCACGAGGAGGGAGGGAGGTAGGGGGGGGGGGTTGCTATTGGCTAGGGGGGTCGCCAAGCTTCGTCCAGTTGACGGACGCCCAGTCGCCTCGCGCCTCCTGCAGCGCAGCTGCCAGCGGTGCGTTCTTGCGCACCATCGCCTCCGGCTGCAGCTCCGCGATGCCCCCCATAAGCTCCAAGTTTCTTGCTGCGGACGCGGGGAAACGGCGTCAGGAGGCACTCGCAAGGAAACTACTCGTCTAAATGTACTCACGGAGCCGGCGCGCGATTCCTGGTGCCACGCCAGGGACCACGTAGTGCACCTTTTGCGCTCGCTCACAGACTGCAGAGCGGGCGAGCGGGTCCCAGAGTCAGCCCCTTCGTAGCCCGAGAGTGGACGGCAGTGTATCTGACGGCCGTGGCGTGGCGCCTGCTGCCGTGACGCCAATTGCGTCGGGGCTGCGCGCCAGACGAGCAGCCCGCCAGCGCGGGTTGGCTTCGATGAGGAGTCGGCGGTAACTCTGTACCCCAAAACACCAAGAGATCATCCCGAGATAAGCCGGGATCTGGCCACAGTGAGAGGAGGCCCGGCCAACTGCTTGAGCACCAGCGACTCAGAGCTTGCATGGCCGTCGAGCCCGCCCATCTAGCCGATATTATCGACTCGTCAGCCGGGATCTATAGCAGAGATCTTGCAGAGGTCTCTAGAGCCGAGATCTGCGTGTGACCGCCCCGAGATCTCTGCGATCTTACGCACCTCGAGCACGGTGTCTCCAAACGGACTTTCAGCCGGAGACCGGTCTTGAGCGCAAAATGGTAGGAGAGCTGTCCGATGCTGCGCATCGCGCCTGCGTATGCGCGTGGACCGCCGAGCAGTGCGGCATTGGTGGGCGTTGGCGTTGGCGGTGGCGAGGGCCCCCCGGGGGGGGGGGGGGGGGGGCAGACGCAAACACAGCGGAATTGAGACGCAAGCAGAAAGAAAGAAAGCCCGGCGCGAACGCGGCCAAAGGAGATGCACCTCGAGAACCTCGAGAGAGACAACCCAAGGGAAGAGCGCGCCGAATAATTCTTTTAGACGGGCTTGTGGTGGCAGAATTCTTTTACGAACGAGCGACCGAGCCTTCGTTGGCCCGCTTGGCAGGTTGCCTCCCACCCAAACGCGCGATTCTTGAAGGCCGTGCTGCGTGCTCCCGCGCAAACTGCGTGCCGTCGCGCCGCGCCCGCGTCAAAAATCGCGCGCTCCCCGCCGCCCGCGCTGCCGTGCCTCTCGAGTGAACCAGCTGCTCACCACCCCAGCGAAGCCACTCGGCTCGGCTCCCCACTCACTGCTCGCTATCCGCTCCGCTCAGGATGGCCCTGAACGGCCTGACCTGCAACCACTGCGGCGGCACGGACATCGAGCTCGATGCGGCGCGCGGCGACGCGGTGTGCATCCAGTGCGGTACCGTCCTCGAGGAGAACACTATCGTCAACGAGGTCACCTTTGAGACGTCGGCGGGCGGCGGTTCGGGCGTGGTTGGCCAGTTCGTCCCGTCCTCCGGGCTCCGCTCGTCGGGCCTGGGCTTCGCCAAGGAGTCGCGCGAGGTCGCCCTTTCCAACGGCAGCGCCACATCTCGCAGCTCGCAGACGAGACCTGTCCAGGACACGTGCATGACATGTCCGAGACACGCCCCATAGGCCAGCGCCACATCTCGCAGCTCGCCAACGCGCTCCGCCTGTCCGAGCACCACCAGGACGCAGCCCAGCGCCTCTTCCAGCTCGCCGTGCAGGTGACACTTCCTAGACACTTCCTAGACACTCCCCAGACACTTCCCAGCTCGCCGTGCAGGCGGGGACACGCTGAGACAGCACACCCGCCCTCCCTCCCCTCCCCTCCCTCCCCACCCCTCGGCCCCACCCTTCCCTCCCGCCGCAGCACAACTTCATCCAGGGCCGCAAGACGCAGCACGTGATCGCCGCCTGCCTCTACACCGTCTGCCGGCGAGAGAAGACCGCCCACCTGCTCATCGACTACTCGGACGTGCTGCAGACAAACGTCTACATGCTCGGCGCGCGCGAGAGATGGGGAGAGGTGGGGAGAGGTGGGGAGAGATGCTGCAGACAAACGTCTAAGGCTCGGCGCGCGCCTCTCGTCGCGCCGCCGCCGCGCCGCTCCCCCCTCTCACTCGCCCCTCCCCCCACCGCCACCGCGGGAGCGGTGCTTGTGACGGGTCCCCACAAATCGGTCTAT